ACAACAGAAAGAATTATCTGAGGATATCACAGGAATCAACAGGGCCCCAAACTTTGCAATCTCAGAGTTGCAAAGGTGAAAGAGTTTGCTTTGAGAAGCGAGCCCCAGAGTACCGTATTCTAGAATGACCATGGCCTAGGGAAACTGTTCCTCAGTATTTGGTTCACAGGCACTGGACACCTACAACCAAGAGAGAGCATAGCCTGGCTCCTGCTCCAGCTGGCAGCAGACCTCGGCAACATCTGCCTGGTACTAGTTTTAGGTGCACACAGAATGCAATAACTATGGGGTCGGGAAGGCTTCCACCCAGATTTTAGAAGAAGGCCTGGGAGGTCATGGAGTGTGTCCTTGAGAGGGCAGTGTGTGAAGTTGCGAGTGAAGACAAAGGTTCAATGGAGACTCTCGAAATTTGGAGAGACAAGAAAAGTGTATCCTCTGAGGAAAACTGCAAGGAGAGAGCAGAGCTGGTCCAAGAGAGAAGCTCAGGGGCTACAGCCACCAGAGGTGCTGAAGGTGAAGCCATTCAAGCTCTTAGGGTTCATATCTTGACACAGACTCCCTGGGATGTTGGACATGGAACTATGATACTTAATGTTTGCCTTGCTGGATCTTATACCTGCTCTGGTCCCATTCCTTTGTATCCCACTATTTGTACCTTTTGGATTGGAAATGTCCATCCTGTGCCATTGAATGTAAGAAGTTTTTAAATTCTTTTTCATTCATGCGGGGGCTAGCAGCTAAAAGTTTGCCTTAAATCTCAGGGGAGACTTTGGACTTGGACTTTTCAGCAATAGTAAAACTGTTAAGACTCTGGCAATGCTTGGACCTGATTAAGAACTGTGTCATAGCTTGTATCCAGATGTCCCTCCAAAGCCTCATGGCATCATGGGACTTTTCAGCGGTGGCTGCATCTGGCACGTGTGATGCTGGGCTCAAGGGCGTGTAATTGTTAAATTTAGTCTTCTGATTGGTTTGGTTTAGTTCTGGGTAGGATAAGGCTGCCCCACCGTGGGTGTGAGTGCTCCATGGCCAAAGGGTAGATAGCCTGAAGAAAATACAAAGGAGAGAGAAGGTTATCTTTCTTTGTTGCTTGTCCTTGCTCTTTGCAGCCTTGCAGACTTCTGTCTTCCATAAACAGTTTCTCCCCTGCTGTGACACTCTGCCTTACAGCCAGCCAACTATGAACTGAAACCTCTACAAACTGTGAACAAAGTAATCATTTCCTCTTTCAATTTTGGGTGTTGGGAAATGTTCTCAGCAACAGAAAGTGACCAAAATAAATGGTATAAGTATTAAGGATTATAGGATAAATATGAGCCATTGCCTAATTAGTGGCCTTTAGATCTTGTACTGTCTGTAGGAAACATAAACCCTTTTCATTGCAATATTGGAAGTATTGCATGGGAAGTCATGGGTATACCAGAGTGTGACCCTGAGAAATTTTTAATAATGGGGCTAAGACAGTTGACAGCTAGAATTTTTGAAAAGAAGGTGGATCCTTGAGGTTAATTTTGACAGTTTAAGCCCTCCTGGACCACCCCAGAAAGGAGGCATCTCAGCATTCTCAAAAAAACAGAGTCCCAGAGGTAGGAAGCTATGTGTGAGGAGGCTCCAGGGAGAATAGGAGAGGGCCCTAAATAACTAGAAAGGGTATAGGGGAGAGATCAAAGGTGACATGCAATCTGACCATAATGTCTATAATGTCCTCTCACCAAGTAGGGGAATAGAGCATCTAGTTGGCTTGCCAACTATGCCCTCAAAGAAGATCAGAACCCCTAAGACTCAGCCCAAGAAGGTAATCAAAGGAGAAGACATAGTCCCTGTAGAAGCTAAGAATGTTATCTGTCCCCTGCTATATCAACTTAGCCCTAGGCTCCTTATGAATTTTGGAGAGAATGGGGCTTGAAGACATATTAGACCTTATCAACCTGGATGGTCATATTGCTGAAGTAGGAGAACCTGGAGAGTAAGTCCTGATTGTAGGTTAGGCATTTGCAAAGTGGATATTCATCCCTCTCAAGGGAAAGGTCTGCCATTGCCCTCCCATTTGAGTCGGGATACCGGGGTTTATATCCTTATGGCTTGAGATACTGTTTACTCCAATGTCCTATGTGTCCACATGTGGGGAAAAGGTAGAAGGTGAGACCCACTCTCAATTGTTCTATGTAGACAAAGTATCCCATTGGCAGGAAGGGCTTGGACTATGGCAGCAGCCTTATGTTGGATCTTTGTCTTTCTTGGCCTCTAGCATAAATTTCCTGATACTGAAGCCCTCCTCTCAACTACTGAAAACCTTGATGGCAATATCTAAAAGTTTGGGGTAGGAAGCTTTGGTTGTTTGCTCTAACTTTTTAGCTTTTGACTAATGTCAAAATCTCTATTCCAAAGTGAGTGGTTATGGCTAGACAGAGTCACGTTCTTTTGCCATAAAATTCAGTTAATGTCCCAGATAGGTCATGTTGCATTGACAACTTGTCCGGGCCAGGACCCTAGTGTTTACACTTTATAGGCTTACTAATCTTACTGGTTCCCATTGAGTAGGTCAAATTAATAATTCTCAAAGATTGTGTTTATGCCCCTCTATTTTGTAGTGCAATTTTGGGAAACCGTTCCCTAGTCCTATACAGTGTTCATGGTTATAATACCAGCAGATAAGAGAGTCAAGGACTTCATATGAAGCCTGTTGAACTTGTAAACTTTTATTTTTATTCTATCTACCCTTGTCTTTTGAATTTTATCTTCCATCAGGACTTTCTTTAACACATTTTGGTTTTACAGTCCTTTTCAGAAAAATGTTCCCAAACTAGACATAGTATCCCTACTCATCAAACCTTTAGGCTAAGATGACAGCTTCTTTACAGAAAGAACACCTCAATATTCAACCTTTCAATATTCATAGTATTTTTCACCTTTACATTTTTATGTTGCAGTTCCAGAAAATGATCTCCTTTTCCCTGAGACTATTTTATCCCCTCTTGTGAAGAAGGCTTTGATTCCCCAGCAAGAGTTTAAGTGAAGAGATAGAGGCCCTTTTGTCAAACTTTATCTTTATTCTTCCGCCTGACTTTTGCCCAAGACATTTCCCTGGAAAATGCAGGAAAGATATTCTTATAAGCAGGGACCCTCTTTTCTCTTAGGACTAGAACTATGGAAAAACTTCCTGGGTTCTTCAGACCTTTGGAACATCTAACAGGTTTCATCTGATCCTTAGTAGCTGCTTGTCATGTGGGAGGCAGTTGCAGGATAAAGGGACATCTTTTTTGGACAGATGCTAATTGAACCAAAGACAGTAACAAATTAGCTTCTGTGCTGAATTGCATGATTAAAACTTGAGCAATGACAAAAGCTCATTTCTGGGATCTTTCCTCGCATGTGAGTAGTAGCCAATGACCTAGTTCCATTATCAGGCAAAAAAAATGGAAACCTGGTACATTTAAGGGACATCTATGTGGAGCACAGTCCTGTGGACAATTCAGGAGTGTGTTCAAGTAAGACATGATGCCCATTAGAAAAAATACAACAAAACATCAACAACAAGACAATGTGCTGGCTTCAAGTGACTGGAATTGAAAAGGTGATGTCTCCGCATGCTCACTTTAGGTGGCCACATGACCCACAAAGTGAGTTGGCACGAAGGTACTGCTGCAAGATGGAGGATGGTGCTGAATCTAGGTGTGGTCTTCTCCCACTCCTTCTGGCTCATAATGCTAGTGAGAACTGTTTTTGTCTGCTACCCAAAAGATGGCTACATGGCAGATTTCCTGGTGGGCAGACCCAAAATTTTCGAGAACATGAGACTGTTGGTTGTCCTAGGTGCTGCAAACAGGTCTGCACCAGACTAGACATTGACTCTACTGGGCAGTGCTTATCTGGTAGAAGAGGAAAATTCACAGAGAGCTAAAAATGAATCACAACAAAAGCTAACACCCAGAATTAAACAGGCATATGTCATTTCTATGGACCAAGCAAAACACTGTAGAATAAATATAATGTCCAGCATTTGGCAGAGAGATACCCTGCACCAAAGTAGAGGTTTCTGGAAAAGAAAAATGAGCCATTGAAACATTGATTGTCTTCGGAGATGGGCTGATGAAGACGTGAAGGACAGTTAAACATATGTTGAGCAATGTGTGTCTGAACTCAGCATGAGGAAGTCTGAAGGAATGTTGTTGTTCTGAAGGAAAGATCAGTAGAGAGGGATGGGGATTTCACTGTGCAAATATATTCACATCACTGCAAGTTCTTTTATACTTCACTCCCTACCTGATGTGGTAGTCTCACAATGCATTAGACAAACACCGAAGCTAAAGTCACTCCAAAAGTTGAAAAGTTAGGATGTTAATGTATTACAGGAGGAGGACAAAGAGGAAGGGAGAAGGAAGAAGAGGGGGAGCACCTGGGGACAAAGAAAGAAGTAAGCGTGTTGTAAATTTATGGAAAACTAATACTATATTTAAAACTCCTGAAAAGCTCAAAGCAAAAGACAATGCTGTCTCTTACCTTAATAATTCCAGATGAATGAGGGGGCTAACTGTTTTCTCAAGGTCCTGCTTTTAGAATGTGACTCTGCAGACTGAAGAGGTTTTACTACGGAAGACACCTTCATATACAATGATCCACCGATCATAGTAATCACGACTGAATGGTAGTTGAGTAATGTGGTAGAGTCTTTAGAGGTTTCTATTCCTTGGCTATGAAGGACTTCTGCTTAGAAGGCAGGATTTGGCTTTCTATGTGATCTACATTCCAGGGATCTTCATTCCAGGGTGGTCCTGCCCCATATCCTCAAGAAAGGAATGCAGAGGAATCTAAATACGCAGGTCTTATTGGATTCTGACTCAGTCTGTTATCATGGTTGCCCTCATATGCAATCTTATCTTGCATATTTGTTCATGCCTTGGTTATGTATATACAGGGACTCCATAAAAGCTTAAAGGACAAGGCTCTGAGAGCTTCTGGCAAGCTGAACGCCTGGACATTCCCACTGAGTGCCGAAGACAGCAAGAGCACTGAAGCTTGCTGCCACTTCTTCCACATTCGGCATCTTTCTATTTGTATCCTTTGCAACCTCCTTTATAAACCAACATAGTAGGTAAGTGAATATTTCTATGGGTTCTGTGATTTCATTCAGTTTAATTGAACCAAATGAGGTATTCCGGGAATCCAGATTTACAGCTGTCTTTTCAGGAGAACAGCTAAAATAACTTGGGTTTACAATTGATATTTAAAGTGATTTGGAGGTTTCAGGGACTAAGCCCTTCAACCATGGCATCTGATAGTGTTAGATGCTGATCCTGCACACACTGTGGTCACAGAGGTGAACCAAGTCCGTGTGTGAGAGTAGAGGAGACAAACTGAGTAAATTTCCCCCCTCTGTCATTGCAAGCAGTTTGTCTGCCCTATACCTATTGGATTTTTCTTTTCCTCTAACCCTTTGCAGAGTCACAAAGTCACCACGCCAGCTCCTCAGTCTGCTCTGCTTTTTGCTTTGGCAATGGCTGGGTGGAGCTGCCTGGTGACAGGAGCAGGAGGCTTCCTTGGCCAGAGGATCATCCACTTGTTGGTGCAGGAGAAGGAGCTGCATGAGGTCAGGGCCCTGGACAAGGCCTTCAGACCCGAAACCAGGGAGGAATTCTCTAGTAAGTGAATTGGACATTTGATGGTAGGGCTCCATTTTAAAGCCAAAGCAAGTGTGGGAGGAGCTGCTTTCTGAAACAAGTAAAGGAAACTTGGAGACATAGGCACCTCCCATGTCCACACTCATCAGGAAAAAATCCAGGATGCACAGCATATACAGTCTTGTATAGCTGTTGGAACACTGGTTTTTGGCCCTGTTACTGGAGGGTTCTTCTCGACGTCCTCCAACATACAGGTTCCTCGAGTCCCAAATTAAGAACTGAGCAGGGCACACAGAAGCGGAAAGAAAGACAGAGACTTATGAAAGGAAAGTAATGCCCCAGAGTAGAAGTAGGACAATGAGAAAACTCAAGAACAGATTTGACCCACAACAGCCCTCTCAGCTTTAGGTTTTAAGATATTTACTGGAAACTTGCGGCCTGGAGGCATATTTACTGGAAACTTGACACCTAAGGGGGAACTCTATCCAATTATTTGAAATGGTTCTTGCGTTTATATGGAATTGGACAAAATTACAATGGCTGCCAGAACCCATTGTGGGGTCAAAACTGCAATGCTAATGATATCATAATAACCATGGGCTTACCCTTGGTTGCTCAGAAGTAGTTAGGGCAAATGCTCCTCGGGCTTAAGCCAAAGGGTCTACAAAGGGCATGGCCATATTTTGTAGCCTCATATCAAGATGCTAAGAAAATATGGTGAGGATAGGAACATATTTCTCAGACTTCTCCCAAGATACTAAAAATATGGTGAGACAGCATGCTTCCTTTGATCTTCAACAGCCAGAGGCATCCTGTCGTTTGTGAATCTAACACCAGATATCTCCCACACTGTATATCTTCTGGCTAAGCCAGGACCCACAACTACTCAGGGTAGCCATAAGCAGTCAGTGGGTCCCCGGGCCTCTCTACTTCCCAACTAGAAAGCACACATTACCGCTACCCTTCAACTGCAGCTCCTTAATGTGCTCAAGTTCCTGAACTTGGCAAATCTCATGCAACATCTGCCAAGGACTATTAAGCCAGGGGCCTCAGCGATCAGTCCTTGACTCTCTGGGTTGCCCTGGGTGTCACTGTTTGTTTTCTTTTGGGGTACAAATAGCATTTTAGGTGAAGGTACAATGAAAGTAACTGCAAGTAAAGCTGCTCTGTGTAGTATGAAGCAGGGTGGGGAGACAGAGACAGACAGACACAGACACAGAGACAGAGGCAGAGAATACATTCAGTACCCATACAAAGTCACCGTAGTACAGAGAGGTGAGAAGCAGTATGACCAACATTGCCCCCCACCCCAGAATCCGCCTATATTCTTCTTACTGTGCCTTTTGGCTCTTCCCACAAAGAGAGTGAAGAGGAGTTGCTGGAATTATCCTTTGTTGTTTTTGCAAATTGCTGCCCCTGCTGCAAATAAAATGGATGGATAGATATTGCACTTTCCCAGCTGCTTTACCCCAGATCTTAAAAATAGCCCTGTGTTGAAAGTAGGAAAGAGGGCACACCCCTCTGGACAAGAAATGAGAGGAAGCTAAACCCAGCTCTCCTGACTGCGTCAATGATCTGTCCAACAAACAAATATTAAAATGTGAACAGACACTTCGTAAGCCTGTATATCTCTGCAATATTTACAATTTAACTCTTGGTGGTAGGAAAGCAGTGCTCTTCCTGGAGGAAGAGCTCCCCAAGGTGACAGTTCAGGGGGAGTGAGCAATGGGGAGGGGCCTGCAGAAAGGCAAGACTGGAGCATCCTTACAGTGTTCTATCTGTGCTAGCAATGATACAATGTCTGCATTGTCAACTACTTACCATCAGAAGACAAGCCCAGGAGACACGAAACATTGCTAAACTCCGATTTGTCAGAAGAAGACAGGCACGCGGAGGTTAATTAACTTGCCCAATTTACAACACATAGAACAAGGTCAAGAAGATCTGGGGTCCAGGATGCCAAGCAGTGGTATCTGTAAGCTTAATGATGAACCTGCCAAGCAGCTTGACTTTGGGCTTTCCTGCAACTCACCTAAACAAATAGAAGTGACTGCATACTCTGTGCAAAGCACTGGCCAGAACCACATGACTTGGAAAGGAAGAAACAGTGACTCAGCCATGAAGAACCCATGGTGCCCTCTGCTGGACTGTCAAGGTCTGTGAGCACTGATGGGGTGAGAGCCCATTTCTCTCTGGGTCTGGGCTCCTCCTACCTCTCTTAGTCACTCCTGCGAGTCAAGCTCTCTGATGTCAGCAATAGAGACAGTAGGAAAGCAGCAGGGGCAGAGAAGGGACATAACAAAGGAAGATGCCATGCTGAGGCGGACGGCCACCTCCCTACTGCAGCCCTTACCCACCATCTTGCACTGTACGACCTTCTTTCCGGACAAAGGCAAGGGCTGGAAGAACACATAATTCAGCACAGGATTCCAGGGCATGGTTCTTCTTGCGGCACAGGAAAGGCTTTCTCCAGCCCTGCATTTTCCCTCTGGTTGTCTCTCTCCCTCTTCTTAGCCTTCATTGCAACTATTAGTTAGTTCCTGTGTATTTACTCAGCCTTAGAAAAGTTACTTCCAATTACTTAGTCCTGCTCTTAGAATGCAGGGCAAACACAGCAAGCCATGGAGGCAGGGGGCAGTTCAGCACTCATTAACAGTGGTTCCTAAACACCTCTGAGCCTCAGTTTCCTGCCCTGCACAGAAAAAACAGAATCAGAAATCCTGAACCTGGGATTTAGCCCAGTGGTTCCCATGCCTGTCTTGTATGCGCAAGATCCTGAGTTCTAGCCCCATACAAAAAAAAAAAAAAAAAAAAAAAAAAATTCCTGTCTGCTGAGGTCTTTAGGAAAGGAAGTGAGTGAACTGTGAATTTGTCTGCACAAAGAAGTGTGGAGTGTTGGAGTCTGAGTGTGGCACGGTGGATTTTCAGGGCTAATTTGAGTTGGCCTTGTCAGTGGCAGTATCATTCTATCATTCCTTACATCTCACTTAAACTATGGATACATCCTGTTGTCAGCAGTGTCAACTGCTGGACACTGATGTCTGCTCCTGATAATATCTGACACATAATCAGACATTTTCAATTAAGTCCATCAGAAGAGCCCATCCTGAATTCTGCTACTAGCTCCACTGGCCTTCTAGTCACCACAACAGGAAACATTAGTTCAGAGTTTAACTGATTTCCTAGACCCAGACCCAGTAAGTAACCAGACCTTTCATGATAAGACCTAATACTCATCACTTCTGGGTCTCCTCTCCTCTGCTCCTACTGCTGGGCCCCGTTTACCTGCATCAGAACTCTGGCAGAGGCATTCCAATTAGTGCATTGCTGTCCTGCTTTCTCTTACATCACCACAACAGTACATTTGACATCCTGAAGTCCAGGTGAGTGTCCTAGTCACAGGCCTGCCCCTCTTCCTCTTGCAGTTCCAAATCGCTATATAATTCTTCACTGCCTATGCAGTTAAATTCGAACTTCTCATCTTTATCCAACTCTCCAGCTTTCCCACTCTCCTTGATGCATCTGTTAAAACTTATCAGCACTCGATAACAATTATTTTTATTCCAGAGACTCAGAACTTACTGTTCAGAGACATGTTCTGCATCACGCTGGGTACAAACAGTTGCTTGTTCTTTGCCAATAAATGCTACACACTGTGATTTTTGTGCCTTCACTACCTTGCTCCCTCCATGGAATGTGTTTCATCCTAGACAACCCCCTGCTATGACTATCCTTGAAAACCCACATACTGTCACCTTATCAGTAGATTTCCCAGACCCTGCAGAAAGCTTCCAAATGAACTCTTTTGTGTTTCCACAGAGCTGCAGACAAAGACCAAGGTGACACTGCTTGAAGGAGACATTCGGGATGCTCAGTGCCTGAGGACAGCCTGCCAGGGCATCTCAGTTGTCATCCATGCCGCTTCTGTGATCGATGTATCCGGTGCGGTCCCTAGAGAGACTATGGTAGACATCAACCTGAGAGGTAGAGCAGCCTGTGGGTGACGTGCAGCAGGTGGGAAACGGGAACGGCAGAAGACATGGGGGGGGGACAGGAGTCCCACTGGGGAACACCGGCTGGGCCCTGGCCCATCAGCCTTTGCTCAGCACTCTCCGCCGGCAGAGCTCAGCGCTGTTACTCTCTGACCTTTTAGGTAAGGAAACTGGGGCTCAGAAAAGCAAGGAAGTTGGCCAAGGCCCCACAGGTAGTTAAGAGAAAAGCAAGAATTTAAAAGCACTCAGGTTGGGTCCCCAAACCAAGAATAGTCTTCCTTCAGTTACTCCATTACAGGGTCAACTCTCCTCTGCGTTTACACTCTTGATGTCCATCCTCCCAAGGTCTCCTCTGAGTGAAACCAAACCCAAACTCAGCTGATACCTCTTCAGCTATATATTTAGATTTTTGCATGAAGGCTGATAAGAATCTCGAGGGCCTCCTGCCCACTTGAAAGAAGGCCTCCTCTCCAGAGAACTAGCACAGCTGGTCCACAGAAGTCTGGTACAGCATGAGCCTTTCCACAGTATTTCCTATGGCAGAATCCTACCCCACTATCTATAGAATTGCCCCTTCAGTGCAGTACTGTGTCTGAACCATGAGTAGGTTATGGTCAAATGCCTAAAGAAAGCCTTCCTTAGATTCTCATTTCTAAATGCTTGGTGACCTCTTTTGAATTGCAGATTTCCAACAGGCTTTAAATTGAAACACATTAGCTCAAGGAAGGTTGCCAGCCCCACTATCTCTCTGACCCTGGAGGGCCAATCTTTCCATCAACACCATCCCTCTGGCCCTGGTCCTTCTGTCAGGACCATCTTGATTCCAAATTCACAAAGTCTCTGACTCCCTTGCAAAGCAAACCAATTACCTTTCATTTTCCAATATCATGTTGAAAAGACATTTTCTCCTCTCTACCCCACCAAATCCTTAGGTACCCACACTATAGGAGGCTGCCGTAAGTAAACAGATTTTTATTTCAGCCTGTGTCTCATGAGACCTGCCCCCTTCACGTCCTAACAGGGGATGAGAAATGATAAGAGCAGAGTTGCAGGTATTCGTTTTCTAAAGCATTTCAGAGGTTACCAAATGCTTCACAATGACACTTTAGTTCCTCTCTTTCTTTTAACTAAACTCATACAGTTTTGCACTATAGGTCTCATTTTTTTTTTCAAAGTATACAGTCAATATCAAGAAAATCAAATGAACAAATACTTTAATGAAGCAAGGGAAGAAGGAAGAAAGGAAGGAAGGAAGAGACTGAGGAAGGGAGGGAGGGAGGGAGGTCATTCCTTGCTCCCTTCTTCAAGTGAATTGCTAAGTCACCTGCAAGAACAACAGGACTCGCTGCAGAATGTTTTGTAATTTCCCTCCATTGTACACAGTCCCACTCATTGTGCACTGTTGCTTTCCGTTCTCCACAAGGCTCAACAAAGAAAATGACAAAGCTAGATCACAGAATGCTGAGTGAAGTGAATCTTTATCACCACTACTGTTCATAATGTGGATAAACAAAGTGATAGAACTAGTGGTGATCTTCACGGGGAACATCCGCCCCCATACAATAGCTATTAGCTCACACGCAGATTGTTTCTGTAAAAATGTTTTATTGATCCTCAAAACAATATGCATATATAACGTTTTCTAATTATGATTGTACATTGCTGATGAACATGAGCATAAATGATATGAATTCTAAATTGGCTGCTTTTCCCCCTGAATTTTAGAACAAAATGACCCATAAAAATGAAATAATGCTGATGACCCTCAGTAATTTTTTTTTTGTGTTTATTTTTGGCTATTTAATTTCTTCTTTATATTTATACTGGGGATCCAAACCTGGGGCTAGGGAAAGCTAGGTACAGGCTCCAAAACTGAATTGTATCTCAAGATACATGGTAATTATAGGTCTATCTGCACTGGTAAAATACACAGCAGCATCCCTATGCCCTTTACAAAATTCAAAATACACACACACACACACACACACACAGCACAGATAGAACACAACAGCCTGGAAATACTGCCTCGCCAAACTGTAAATATTAGCTTCTTTTCTCTTTGCATTTTCACCTAACAGTAGTCTGACAGATATACAATAATTGCCAAGGGGAGGAGGTCAGTATCACATGAACCTGAGCCAGAACGGGCCCTTTGGGTTGTTCCTGATGCTGACCCTGTGTTCCTGACTTGCAGGTACCCAGCTCCTGTTGGAGGCCTGTGTGCAAGCCAGCGTGCCATTCTTCATCTACACCAGCTCAATTGAGGTAGCTGGGCCCAACTCCTACAAGGAGATCGTCCAGAATGCCCATGAGGATGAGCAACATGAAAGCACATGGTCTGCGCCATACCCAAGCAGCAAAAAGCTGGCCGAGAAGGCTGTGCTGAAAGCTAATGGGTGCACGCTGAGAAACGGTGGCACCTTGTACACGTGTGCCTTGAGGCCCTCCTACATCTACGGGGAAGGAAGCCCCTTCTTATCTTCTGTGATGGGAAGGGCCCTCAAAAACGATGGGATCCTGAAGAGTACAGGCAAATTCTCTATAGCCAGCCAGGTCTATGTTAGGAATGTGGCCTGGGCCCACATTTTGGCCTCCAGAGCCCTGAGGGATCCCAACAAGGCCCCAAACATCCAAGGACAGTTCTATTATGTCTCAGATGACACACCTCACCAAAGTTATGGTAACCTTCATTACAACCTGAGCAAAGAATATGGCCTTCGCCTTGATTCTAGCCCAGGCATCCCTTTGTCTGTAATGTACTGGCTTGCTTTCCTGCTGGAAATGGTGAGCTTACTGCTGAGTCCAATTTACAGTTACCATCCCCCCTTTAACCGCCACTTAGTGACACTGTCAAATAGTGTGTTCACTGTCACCTATGAGAAAGCTCTACGAGATCTGGAGTATGAGCCCCTGTTCAGCTGGGAGGAAGCCAAGCGGAAGACTGGGGAGTGGATAGGTTCCCTAGTGCAGCAGCACAAGGGGGCTCTCAAGACAAAGACTCAGTGATGTGACCATAGCAGGGACATGGTCCAGGCTGATGTCTGGAGCTATTTATCCACTTCCTCCATCTGGCTTCCTCCTGAGAGGGACAGAGTCACAAGCCCAGGTTCCAATAGCCTCCCTCTCACACAATGGAAACCTACTATCTTTCTTAGGCCACCAGGTGCTTGTGGTTCAATCTGCCATTGTCAGTGCTAAAATTATTCTTTTCTTTGGAAATCTTACACTGCTTCACAAAGCACAATGAAAGAGGCAATACAGGAAATAAAGCTTTGAATGCATAAGTTGGAGTATGTGAGGTTTGTTAACCCTCATTTTCCACCTTTGCTTTCATTTCCAGGAATCAGCAGTTCAGAACGGAACATGGGGTTTTGTGGGCAGTGATGGCAGGGTTGGGAGAGCACCTGAGATTCCCTATCACCTGCTAGTTTCTGACATGTTCCAGATGATGGCAGCACTCCTATCCCCATGCTATAGATGAGAAAATTTGTTCTTGGGCTCACTAACTTGTACGTGGTGAGAATAGATATCCATGGAGAGTGATTTACAATTTCCCACTTCCACTGACTTTTTCAGGCTTTCAGAGGGGCAACAAAGCCTTTGTCATTTCTCCCTGAGGAGCCCCCCACCATCAACTTTGGGGTATATTCTCCTTGTCCAACACTAATCAGAAGTCTCTAGAACTAGCAGAGTCCTTGAGGGAAGGCCAATATTCTTCAAGCCTTGATGGTTCTAGAATGCACCTACAAATGTTGGCGATTTTGGTCATTTATATCTTCATATCTCAATCTTTCCATTCATACAGTTCCATGCATTCTTGGGAGGTAATAGGAAGAGGTCAAAACTTCCACTACAAATTTATCTCCTAATTAACCAGAAATGTTCAAATTTACTTTCCCTGCCTCTCAAGTTAACGGCTTGTCCTTCCTCATTTCACCTCTCTTCTGTCATGTGTTTTAGCTTCTCTTCCTTTATCCATTTCTTTTCATTTTCTTTTCTTTCTCTCCATCTTTCCCTCATACTTGTCAATATCCCTGAAGATAAGAGATCAAACAAGAGATTCTGCGGCCTTAAATAAGGTCATTGTAACTAACTAAACAAAGAACCAACAGTCAAACAAGACCTGTTAGATCCCCAGGGATAGTGTCAAATAGAAGCGGGTAAGGAACCAGATGTGGAGATGCAGTTTCCACAGAGGAAGCTTCACATTCTGCACCTTGATATTGCCTCCTCTGTCTTCCATATCACAAACATCACAACAGTCTCACCCAAGATGTCTTCCTTCTTAAATTCAATAAAATTAATTAGAAGCCTTTGATTTGAATTGAGGTCCTGGATTAGGCCCAACAGACCAACTTACAGGATGTCTCTCCTGCTGAAATTCAACACCTCAGTCACAAATCAAAGTGTTTATTTAACATCAAAGATAGAGTATTAGGAGAGAGAACCAATGTCGACATTCTGAAGCAAGTCAGCTATAAACAGCATGACAAGGAAGTCCCTTCTGCCATAAGCTTTAAAAGGAAAGTGTCGCGAGCCGGCGACGCAGAGCACTGTCCAGCAGTGCCTCAAACCTGAAAGAGCAGCAGGGTGGAGATGGGGCAGAGAGAAAGGAAGGGACGCCAAGACAAGAGTCTGATCAAGGTGGCGTTTATTGCCGGCAAGCACCGGCCTTTTAAAGCAAAAAACCACAAACTATTATGGGATGGGTTTACCATAGTAACTGAAAGGTCACACAGGAAAAGAGCAAGCAGGTTCACCAAAACAACCCACCGTGGGTAGTAGTAACCCGGACAACCACACATCTAAAGGTCAGAGACAAGAAACTGTAACTTTCAGGAATTCCACAAAGGAAACACTCTACCTGCTAAACTGGAGAAACTTAACA